AAAATTCAAACTGTCCGCAGCGAGAAACCAAAAGCGTGCAAAAAAAAAGCATAGATAAGCCAAAAAAAGACAAAAAGGAAAAAACCCCACGAAAACAAAAAAGAAGTCAAGAGTGGTCAGCGTTAATTTTTCATGGCGGGACAACAGCAAAAGAATATTATTTCATTTATTTACATCATGGCTTTGGGATGGGGATGGGGCTTTTCGGATGCGGGGACTAAACAAACGCAATCGTTGCCCATGGTCCACAACGTCATTAGTCACACTAGAACAGGGGCGGGGGGCGTGGCAATAAAAGGGGGTTTTCGGGGTGGGTTAACAAAAAAAAGGGAAGGGGAAGGGGGCGATAGGATATATATATAGGAGTATATATCTAAACCAGCAACAGCAAACAAAAGTAAAATGCTGTGAGCTATGAAACCCGCGGCCAAAGCGGATAAAAAGTAATCAAAAGTGCTAAGAACGACATAATAAGGCAACTGAGAACTGGAAGACGCAGGCGAAGACTGTGAAAAGGGGCACAGGGGGGAGTGGCTATCGAGGCGGTCGGCTATGGGGTCTGAAGGTGTTTCTTTTGCACAGAAAAGTGCTTGACAAAGAGGAAATGAAATCAAATAAGAGAAAAAATGCGAAGGACAAAAAACGACTTCGCGGCAGGAATATTGCATTTATGTGTGAGAAATACAGTCAGGATTCCCTATGAAGAACATCATGAATCTTTTCTTTATTAAAATGGAATGCTAGGTAAATATCCTTTATAAGCTTTTAGTATCTCAGAGATAACTCTGCTTTTATCTGTAATTTTAAGCTTTTTGAGAATACTAGTAAAGTTTTATATATAGAGTCGAGACTGTAGAGTGGCGGAGTACGTCAAGCGTTGGCGTGGGCGGACGACGCGGATTCTTAGCCGCCTAAGCCCTGAGCTGTAAGCTGCTTGCCGGGCGAGAAGTACGCAATTTTTAAGCCGCAGCTTAAAGTGGTGACAACAGCAACAGCCATAGGAATAGGCAACTACTGCGGCAGCAACAACAACTTTTGGCTTTGGCTCCGCCGAAGAGTTGGGTTGCATTTTGTAGAACTCTTTAGTGTGATTAATGTGCCACACACTGGTCGTACTGGTCGTATGTGTGTTCGCTTCCCTTTATGAGCTCTTTGGTTTACAAGCAGGTCGTGCTCCTTACACTTTTCCTTTTTCTGTGAACTCCTTCTCCGTCTCCTTGTGATTTTTTCCATATATACATTTCATATTTTTTTTCTGCCAGTCCTTGCTTTTGTTGGGACAAACAAAAGCCCAGCCACCCACACCTTCGTGCACAGACATTTTCCGTTTGCACACGCTCACACACTCACACACACACACACTCTTTCACACATCTGCAGATGCACTGCCCTAATCCTTTTGACGTGGCTTTTATCGCACTTTCCCGCTTTTTCGCATGCAGCCTGTGCCGAAAGGGTAGCAAAAAGGATTTTCGAGTTGTACAAACGATTCTACCACACCTAAAACTTAAATGTGCACTTATTTTATACGATTTTACTGGTTGGATAAATTGCCAAAAATAAGTTTACGTTTTTATTGTCTTTTGTCTCTATTAGTTTTGAGTTTTTGCTCAAAAGCTTTTAGTTTAATATCGGTAAAAGGATGTCAAGCTGAGATGGCCTCTTATTTGCACTTTGTTGAAAATTATATTTTGAAAATTTCTTGATTTAAATTTGTATTTTATTTTTTACCAAATAGTTTCCTTTTAAAAGGAACTTAATATTATCATTAGAATCCACTTAAAATCATGCAAAAATGTATATTTATTTTTGTTTTTCCGTTTTAAACTAGTTTAGTTATATTTTCACATAAGAAATATTTACGAAGTGTCAGAAACTCTTCAGCTTGCTAGTATTTGTCTTGTAATACTCAAAAATAATTTATAAAATTAGTAAGAAAAGTTATTATAATATATATTAAAGACCGATCCTAGAAAAGAGTAAAACCTAGTCGATTAATCATTTTTCCGTTCCCTTTCCTTTTTCTTAAAGCTTTCCGTTTCATTCCTTATTTTAGTTTCCTTTTTTTACATATTTTTTGTGTGTTGGGTATCTCATTATGTGCTCGAGCTCCGTCTTGGGTTACATATTTTTCATAAGCATATGTGTATGTGCATAATAACTCCCCTCGCTCACACATATTGACTCTTTGGGGGCTTCATTTGCTCAAGTGTTTTTTTTTTTTTTTTTTGATGCCCCTTGGGGGCGGTGGCTCTTGGCGTGTTGCACAGGAAACAGCAACAACAAATAGCAACAGGCAGACAGGATGTTGAAAAGGATTCCGCAGAGAGAAAAAAAAAAAAAAAATCATAAACCTTTTGTGGGGCTTCATGCCAAGTCATCTTGTGTCGTGTCAGTCATAAATTAAGTGAGTTTCTTACAGTTTTTTTTTCTTTCCTTACACCATCTTTTTTTACGTACATCTTCTGTGGATGTTGGGGCAGCTGCTTTTGTGCCACTTTCCAGCGCAAATTAATTAAGACATTTTCGATGAGATCAACTTAAATGCGAGACGAGGCCAAATACAAATTACGAGCGCTCTGCACGTGAAAAACTGTGTCATTGTGTGACATCAAAACCAACAAAAAGCCAACAGAAGCCGCAATAAAAACGAGGCAAAAATCCAGACACGTACCGGGCCAGGAAACAAGACAGTTGCTGCAGCTTTTTACTTCGAAGCTATAGCTGCAGATATTTTTGCTGATGCTGGACCAATCCTCTCCAGCTCGCTAAGACGGCTCGGCGGCATCAATTTTTGTCCAGTAGCCGAGAAAATGTCACGTTTCCACATAAGTTACAAAGGCCTTCGGCCACGTTGAGCGTGAGAATCGGCAACTGGCAGTCGGTCTCCTTCGTTCTCCATGTGTGTGTGTTTTTCCTGCTCCAGGAAAAGGTACTTTCCATGGTGAAAATTAATTGCCAACCGTGTTGCATTCTCACTCTTTGTCTAGCAATTAATTGGAAAGCAGATCCACTAAACAAAAGCGAGTCCAAGGTGTACTCCTGACATTTTCCAAAACCCAAGGAAATAAATGGAAAAAACTGATTACATTTTAAATTTACTTTTAATTTAAATAAACTAAAAAGTAGTATTTTAACCTTTCATTATTGTAGGATAGACGTTTTCTAAAAAAGCAATATACTTTTAATATTGGTCCTACAGTTTTTAGATACGAAAAGTTATGATATTAAAATTTGCAGAATAATAACTTAAATAAATCATATTATTTAAGTGCATTTTATTCCCAGTGTATCCAAAAGCTTTAACCATAGGCATTTCTTCAATAATCCCGGAAAACTCCTTCCTTATTTGGCACTAAAAAATCAATTAAACCTTTGCATGCCTCAGCCGGGGGCTAAAAAAGATTTAATATCCTCGGCAGACTAACTAGCGATACTGGTGATTCTGTTATGATCCAATAATGACCACAGATGCATTTAATTTCGGACAGGTGGAGGGTTTGAGGGGTTAGAAGGGTTCGAGGGGATAGAATGTTGAACTCCCTTGGGCCTCGTTAAATGCTTTATGGTTGACTCTTTACGGCCTCAACGGTTGTTAGTTGGGTTTCTATGGCTACTGACTTCCAGCCACGCTCCAATTGGAATAGGAAAGCAATTAGAGATGGATGCTCTTCCGGATGGTGGGGTACTATGGTCAATTGGCAGGTTGGATTCGGGCATAAGGACCACAGCAGGTGCGGTCACTTTGCTAATTGCCAACTAATTTAGTGAAGTGAGTTCCACACATTCGAATTCAAACCCTGGGGGAATAAGCCAAGGCTCCAATGTTACAAGCCATCAGTGATGATAAGTTAAAGCAAGAAGTTAAGACCAATAAAAAATTGTTAAATAAGGATTTAAATCACAAATTAACTATTAACTATTAATGTAAATAATTTAAAACACTTTTAGTTTTAGTTCTAAATTAATTATTGAGACTTAACCCAGTTTCTTTTCATTTTTGAATTTTGAAACTTACAGAACCAAAAACTGTTTTTTACAACTTTAAGTTACGCATTTGCATTGCTAAGTTTAGCCACTTTATGTAATGCATATTTGGCAACACTGCCAGCAATACAGGCAATACACGACGACTCGTAATCAGCCGCATTTATGTTTGGCCATAAAATATGCAAATATCCTTTAAGTACTTTTAATGTCTTGCCATTTGTTGGTCCGCAGGCTGTTGGCCCATGGCCATGTCCTCCTTCACCGCAGTCTCCCCGGCTCCTCATCTTCCTTCCACCTCCCCCCTTTTGTTAATGGCATGTTTGGCATTGTCGCACAGTCGTCTTGTCTATTCTGTGGGATATACGTATATTCAGGCTCCTCTGTAGCTTGCATTTTCATTTTGTGCACTTTGCCATTTCTTTGGCTGAAGTCTTCTTCCTTACTTTATGGCCCTCATAAATAACACCCTGTCGCTGTATCGGTGTCCATACATATATAACTATGGATATGGATATATCCCTCTGTGAGAACTTGAAGAGCTGATCTGCGGACGGAGGAATATTTCAGCTTCGAACCAAGAGGGGTACACTTTTGTTGCCAACATTTCATTTACCTAATGTCCACTGGGTACCAAAGGTGTGTCCGGGCATTCATTTTCTTATTTTATGATAGTTTTCTTTGGGTTCTAAGAATTTTTCAGGAATTTACTAATTGGAAAAATTGTTAACTATTGCATCAACGAGACCCAATATACTTGTTGTTAATGGAATTTAAAATTTGATTAATATAAAACCAAATTTAATTTGCATAATGATATTATTATAGCTCTGCAGATGCAGGGTAACAAATAACTTATCCTTTTTCAACTCAGTTCCATTTCAATTTCTGTAAGGGAGTTCTCCGTTTTTCCATATTTTGTAAGCTGCTTACAAACATAACTATTTATCCTTGTCGCGTTTCCTGTGGTACAACACCCACTAATGTCCCTTTATTTCCTCTGATTTTTCCAGGACAAAGGACAGTAGGACAGCAGCTAACCTACTGGCAACGCGAAGGCGTCAAAGAGATTCGAAAGGAGAAAAGGCAACTTGACAAGGACTATTCGCACACTGTGGCCAGCGGAGGAGGAGGAAATCGAACCGAATGCAGTATCTCAACTACGCTCTGCAGACATCCACGCGACTGCTGACGTACCAGGGCCCAAACCAGGATCTATATCCTGACCAGACAGGACTAGCCTCCGCCCACGAGGAGGATATCAAGCACGCCTGCTGCAGTCGCGGCGCTCAGTTGCTAAGACTGCGCCACCGAGAGCTGGCCAAGAGACGAGCTCTAGAGGATCAGATCAACGCCAATCAGGAGGAGGAGGCGGAGGACGAACAGCAGGAGGAGGAACAGCTGCCAGAGGACTTGGACAGCGAACAGGGAGCTGTCGGCGGGGAGCATCTGCATCCGCAGCCAGTCCAATGAAATTTACTCTCATTTAATGTCCAACTGGCGCGAAGCAAGCTGCTATCGTTCTTCAACCGCGACATGGCCGCCACTGATGGCCAAATCATATTGGCCGCCTCCCGATTCGGCGATGCCACGCCCGTTTACCTGCGCGACTTTTCCAAGCAACCGCTGCCGGCGGTTGCGAAGATCCTTAAGGGTCAACATCAGGCCCTGGGCGTGCCCACCCTGTCGGCCCCATCCCTGCAGAGCACCGCCCTATTCCTGAGCGCCGGTAAAAAGTACCAGATCCTGGCCCAACCCATCAAGATCAAAGAGGGTCGTAAGCCTACAAATGTGGGCGCCAAGGTGCTCATCCCCGAGACCTATGGCGGCTATTTTGAGCTTCTCAGCGAAGATGGTCGATCGACGAGATGCATCGACTCCGTTCTAGAGCTCTCCAGGCGGCGGAATGCCCGGGTCCTGGTGCGGGAGACATTCCGATGCCAGCAGATGAACCGAACCATTCATGCCGGCGAACTGCTGACCACCATGAACGACAATGGAAAGTACCTGCAGTGCAGGAACATCAAGGACGAGATCATCAATCTGCCACTCGATACCAAAGCCAAGTTCTCGCCCATCGCCAGGGAGGACAGCATCAGCGGCGTGCACACCGTCAAGAATCTGCTGCTCAAGCGGATGCCAGTCATCGTGAGGTGAGTTTTTGAGTGTGATCACAAAGTATTTTCATTAATGGGTTATATAGACATAAGCCTTATTTTGATTTTTAATTTTTACCCCAACTTGTACATCCCATCCGCAGACTCGTCCACGGAAGTGCACCCAAAGGTCTGAAGCAGCCGTTTGTGCCCGAACTGCGACTGTTGGGCTGCGTGGAGATCGACAGGATATTTGCTCTGCCCCTGCAGAAGGACACGGATTTGGTGCCGGTGCCGCTGAACGCGAAAATTAAGCTGCAGCGGGCCAAAAACATGGAGCAGCTGGAGCACTTTATCGAGTACTCGCGATTCCTGGACAAGGCACAGCGATTGCTGGCCGATGCACGCGATCGCCTGCAGATCGTTGATCTCAAGCTGAGCGAGAAGGAGAAGAAGGACTCCAAGTTCAATAGTCGCAATGGTGGCAGGTTACCGGTGGTGATGCTGCCATCGGCAGCTGGAATGGCCAGTGGACTGGCGGAGAGTGGTTATGTGTTGCGCAAGAGTGCCAGCTGTGATTCGTGGTCGAAGCAACAGCAAGCCTTGAGTAGCAGCGAAATAGCAGAGGAGTACAACGAGATCGATCATATCTATGATTATGTAAGGGGCCTAACGCCACTCTCAAAGGGATTGGCCCGTTTCGAGCCCATCTGCGAGTCACCCACTCTGCGTTCGCATCACACGGACAGCGGTAGTGGCAACTACTGCAGCTTGATACGGGGTCCGGTCAACCAGCAGGCCTCCACCTCCGGGAAATAACAACTACAGCAGTCTGGAGTCCAATAAGCACAGCAGCAATGGTGGTGGCCATCATTCCAGTCACCAGCAGCAGCACCATCACCACCATCATCACATGGTTAATCACTACCATCATGGCCATATTCAGGAGGACATCAAGCCGGTGCCACCGCCCATCGAAACGATTCCGGGCAAGAAACCGGCCGAGAAGCGCCAGCGTCCGACTCTACCAAAGCTTTACATCAAGAATGCCCACAGTGCTGGGAGCAGCAGCAATGGCAACTCCACGGGCACCACCCACAGCACCAGTCACAGTCACAGCCATAGTCACAGTCACGTCCACAGTCACAGTCACACGCAGTCACAGTCGCAGCAGCAGCCGCCACCGGCTACTCCCAATGGGAACACGGCTGCAGCCGTGGCCAATGCAGCGGCTGCTGCTGTGGCAGCTGCCCATCATGGTTCCCATGGATCGCACGGTTCACATCCGCATCCCCATCCGCATGCCAGTGTGCATCCGCATCCTCATCACGGCAAGGTGCTGACGCCCAATAACCATCTGCCGAGCAAAGAGGCCCTGGAGCCGCAGTCGCCGCTGTTTCACATCAGGTAAGAAGGTCGTGGTTCCACCTGGGGCAGCTTTAAGGTCAATCTAGGGAATAATCTAAAATTTATATTAAAAAGGAATGATCGGAAGTTTTTTTTACTAATAAGAAAACCCTCATACTTGAGTTTCATCTATAGAACCCACATTTTGATTCATCCCTTAGGTACAAGAGTCTTAGCAGCCTGCAACTGACGCCGGACAACAATAATTGCTCCTCGGTGACGCCGCCGACGATCTCAGCCCATGGCAAGTCATCAGTAGCTGGCGGTGGAACCGGATCAGGAGCAAATGGGTCGGGAGCACCGGCAACGCCGGGCACACCACCGGATGTGGTGCTCAAGTGCGGCAGCATCCTGAATGTCCATGGCTACCTGTCCAGTCCACATCCCCTGCCGTTGCCATTGCCCCACAGCCGGAGTTCTAGCAGCAATAACCATCATAATCCAAGGGAGGGCACTTTGGACTCATCCCGCAGCGGTGGCCGGACTTCGGGTGATTCGAACAAACTGCCCGAGAAGAAGACACGCCGACTGTCGCGGCCAAGAAGTCTATCGAACTTGGTCTGGGATCTGCGGCCGTCGAAGGAGAAGTCAAAAAAGAAGCTCTACATCCATCACTTTGATCAGCGGCAGCAGGCGACGCTGTATCTGTAGGATGATTGCATGGATGTAGAGTATCTCCAGGATGACGATGGATGAGGAAGTAGCAGCACGATGATGATGATGATGATAATGATGATGATGATTCGTTGCCAACTCGTTTCTAGCTGCCATCGACCCCCGCAAAACAGAAAATAAAAAACAGAAACAAAAACAAAAACAAAAAACTACAGAAAAAGTAAAACACAATAAAAGAGGAGCAACTACAACTTTTGGCACGCTGTGTGTGTTCCTGCAGGTGAGTTGAATAGCCATGCAAATCGTGCTGCGTTTTGATTATTTTTCCGCTTATTAAATTCGTGCAACAAACTTACCGAAAAAAAAAATACAAAACCAAAATAATAATAATAAAACCAACATTTGAAATGGCCAACTAATGGTTCGTCCCACTCCACCATTCGATTTTACAGCTTTCACCATTTAGCCTGCAGCAGCAATTTTAATTAATATTGAATTGTGCCTTTCCCTGCTACGCCCAGAATTATGCTTTAAAAACCAGATTCCGACGGAGTATTTGATGAGAATATTTCGACCGGATGGATCGATCCCCCGAAAATGAAAGGCTGCCAGCAGACACACACGCGTACAATACCCCACACATACACAACACATAAACACACATACACACATCAAGTCTATAAAATTGTGATTTTAATTTTATGTTTTAATTTAATAATTATTGCGAACCATTTTCAAATTGGATGAAAAGCCATTTATGCTATTCAGAAAACAAAAGAAAAACTCACAAAACGAACTTGAAAATCCACAAGAAATTAGTTGTCTACAAACGAGATATATATATATTTAATGAGTACTGTATTTAAACAGGATAGCAAAAGGCAAATGTAACTAATAGTAAGTCAATAATATCAAGCAACCATATATCGATCATTTAGAGAATGTTATGCAACACGTAAAGCTAGCTAAAATGAATTTATAAATTAATACAATGAATTTCCTCCTCATAATTTAAATGTTGTGCAAACTGTTGATTGAATGCAATTAAACCGTAATCGAACAACTCTTGTTTAGTAATTAGTTTGCTCAGAGCCAGATACCTCCCCTCGAAACCCATCCCGCGGAATATTAATTCCCCACCCCAACGATCTGCTCGCAATTGCATTGTCTTAGTCGTTTAGTCTGTACATTTTAGTTGTATTTACCAGCTTATATGGCCTATAAATAGAGAGTATATATATATATATATATAAATACATACATACGTGTAAAACTATAATATAACTTGTATTTGTGTCTAAATAAATGTCTCAGAAAAATAAATGTATATGCAAAACAATCTCGAGCGTTGAAAGTTGCCTTGGTTCCTGAGTGTGGGCGGCTAAAACTATCCAATGAAAGCTTAACGGGTTGGAAATCCACTCAATAATAACCTGATCTGGCCATAAGCGATTGGCGGTAATCAGGTGAAAAATTAGAGGGAACCAAAAGGGGCAAATGGAATTTCTATCATTTGTATAATGAAAGCTAAAACGTTTTAGCTGTCTTTTAATATTCAACTTTATGACTACTCTCAACTACACTTCATAAATAAGTAAGTGTACTAAAAGAGCTATGAAATGGTAATAAATAAATATATTTTGGTAAAGATTTAAGCTAAATTATTAGTCACTCTCTGCATATAAAACGGGAAAAACACCTACATTTTTAATGGCCAGCAATACCAAGCACCTGAGCAACAATATTGTGTAATAAACCCAGATGTAAAACTCCAGACTCCCCAAGAAAATGTGATTGGATTTTTTATATACTCGTATGTTTATTTTAAGCGCCTTTTTTTTTTAGATACCCCACAGGCCGCTCTCAATAAAAATTATAGATTCTCGCCACGGAGCACCTATAATATTTGATGTGATCTAACATGTCTAAATACACGGCGTACTAGGCCGTAAAAGGTGCCAATAGCAGCAAAAACAGCAAATAACCAGCTCTGACCAAAATCAATGAAAATTGCGCAGTTTTTCTAGGAAAAAAATGCGGCAAAAGGAAACTTTTAAATAAATGAACGCATGCCAAATGCTTCCTGGCCGCAGACAATGAGCCGAAACACCTGCCTCATAGACACCTGTCCGCGTTTGGGCAAAGAATCGAATTAAATCTCAATTGAGAGGGGCGTATGGAGGGGGGAGATGCAATCATGGGTGAGGGAGCAATGCGGAACCGAGTCTTTATGAAGACCAAATTGCGTTAATGCTGGTAATTAGTTGTAATATCGAAAGCCTTCCACGCGAGTTCGCTGCTTGAGTCTTTCGTAATGCCGCATAAAAGCGCTATGCAAATACATTGTAGGTACACGGGAAGAAATTATATAATTCTTATTATTATATATAAATATATAGAAGCCAATTTCAGATCTAATAAATTTGTAAGTAATATAAATCATTGAAATGGTGATAAAATAAAAATATTAAAAAATTGACAATTCAACTCATGTTGTTAAAAGATATTAACATATTAATTTATTATTTACGTTTTAGTAATAAACTGTTTAGTTATGGATATAATCTCAACTTAATAAACTGATAAACCAAATTAGTAAAAGATTTTTCAACCATCAACTTAATTATACTTTACACTGTGTATTTATTATTGCGACATTAATCATGGATTTCTAACCTTTATATTGTTTATTATTAAGTTAAAGTTAAGGAAACATAAATTATTTTTTCCCTGTGCTAAAACTAGAGCTGCAGCTGGGCCAGGAACTGGAGCTTTAGAGCTGGAGCTGGAGCTGGGGGCAACGAATTGAATAACATGAAAAATGCGCTTGCATTGCGATATCATCACGTTTATGACGTTGGCACAATTAATCAGCCGCATGCAAGCGCTAAAAGGCAGAGGAGACTCCGGGAAACCAGGAGGATGGATCGGATCGGGAGGAGCCAGCAGATCAGGGAGAACCATAAACGTTTCTCTGCTCATCAAATGTGCAATTTATAACCACCACAGACGCCCACGCCAAAGATCTTTTCAAGCAGCGAGTGCTGCTTGGGCTCAAGTTAAGACGCAAATTAACCCTATAAACATATTTAGAATGATTTGTAGTAACCATTTTCCATTCCGTAAAATTCCACTGCAAAATATTATAGTTTCTCTAATTAACAAAATATTTAAAAAGATCACTTGAGATATTTTATGGTAAATAAGGAAAAAAAAAAGACATTAGGCTACAAAAGGTTAAGGTTGAGGTGCGGGTTGGGATCCAAAGAACCGAGATTGAGTCAGAGTCCGGGGGACCTGCATGTTGCCTGGCCATTTGCTACAGTTATGGCACCAGGAAGACTGGACCCGCAGCTGCTCTTTCCCAATGGCCCCTCCTGCCCCAACTACTCCTAATCCTATTCTCTACCGATCCACCCTCCTTGAAGAACTGGCGATTTGTATCAGGATGTCTGTTTAAACTGTGTGTAAATCGCCCTAAACTACGCATCAGTTTCGGTTTCAATCTCGGACGGTTCCATCGGTTTCCCGCGGTTCTTATGGCAATGCACTGATAGAAAACTTATAGAATATGGTTATGAGCTTAATATCTTGTTTAATGTTGGATTAAGCCATCTACTATATTTTTACTTAATATATACCTCGTAATACCTCTATTTTATCTTGAAAAATGTTTAGTATTTATAATTTAACTTATAACCGAAGGATATAGCTAGCATTTAGCCAACATCAACTAAATAATAGGCAGCATATGCCAAAGTTTCCAAGAATGAAAACACTATTTAATCTACTAGAAACGAAGTTATTATAGGCTTTAGAATTTTTTGTACGTGTTGCAGTATTTACTTGAGGAAGTGGCAGCGTTTAGCGTGGCAGTTTTATCGCGATGGAAGCGATACGTGGCGATATAGCGGTAACAAATTGGCTTTTGCTTTGCAATTCTGGCCCAGTTCGGAAAACGCTTCCGCGACACAAACACACAATTAAAAGTTCTCGCAGCTCAATTACCTTGGCCATCGATCAGGCAGTAAAAAAAAAACAAAATAGGAGGTAAAAGCCAAGAAAAGAGGAGGAGGAGGAGCTGAAAAATGCAAACTTCATATAGCTAGCTCGTAGATCTATAAAGACCTAGGGTCTTTGATCCATGTGATCTGCAATTACGCTCCGCTCGTCGGCTTGTTTATTTTGTTTTTGCAGCTCGTCTGCAACAGCAATTGCGCAACTGCTGCAACAAATGCTGCAACTGCAAATGCAACAACTGCTGCAACTGGCTCGATAATCATTCAAATTTACAAGAAAACAATCAAAAAACAAATTCCTAGAACACAAATCGACGAAACTCATTTCATTTCAATTAAAGTTGCACGCCGCGCGCCACAGAACGAAGTGGAACTTGCAAGTTGGTAAGTGGTGGAGAAGGGGTTAAGCAAGGCAAAAAGGTGGAGGAGGTGGAGGGAACATCTTGAGAAAAGTCCATAAAGAAAACAAGAAATGGAGCTAGAAGTTTGGCAAAGGAAACGACTTAAAGATTACCTGTGACTAAAAATGTGTCTTAACCGAAAACGTTAAGAATTTCTAATATAATGATAACCTCTATAGGACTTGTTACCCAATTAAACTTTATTATTTCTATTATTTTGCTTTTAAATGATATCAAGATTTTTGAGAAATACGCATATTAGTATTTATAATTTATTTAAGACAAATTATGTACTATATTATATTTAATTAAAATAAATTTTAAGAGGCATAAAGTTTTAAAGAAAAAGAATATTTTATTTTTATACATAGTAATGCACACCTTTCAAGTTCCATAGTTCGGATGTACTCTATCAATCTTTTACAGGGTATCGGATCATGGGAGCGTGCAAGAATCAGGCGGGAGTAGCTGCAGAAGAATCACCAGCAGCGGAGGAATCAGAATCAGAATCAGCAGCAGCGACGTTGAAAAATCCCAAAGAAAACAAATTTAAATAAGACAAACGTCAACCAATTACCGTCAATCGCATTTCCCGCAAGAACAACAACAAGATCTTGGGGGCAGAAGGAGTCGCTCCAAAGTTGCAAAATTGCCAAACGGCCAATTGGGGGCGGAAGAAAAGGGACGGAACGATGGTGAATAAGGCGCGCGCATGTGCAGTTACAATTGCGAACGGCGACTGCGTCACACGAAGAAAGGTCAAGAAACTGTGAGAGAGAACATTTGAATAGGTCTTATAGGTGAGTAGAAGGAGAGAGTAAGGAGTGCAGAAGAGAAGGTGCGCACTGAGATAAATTCGTAAGCTATACTAAGAAAATGGCAAAAGATGGATATTGAAATGTTAATATTTTTAAATAAATATAAACGCTCTTGTATTTGATCGGATGTTAAGTTAAACATATTCTTGAAACAAGCAAAACTGAGGTTACTAATCTAGGTTAGCGATAAAGGATACAATCATATTCCTTATTAAAAAAGATGTTATACTAAATAATTTCATTTTTATTTATGTTTCAAGGTTTACAAATACGATGACAAAATATTTTTTCAAAATGATTACTTATAAATAATATTTATACTCCCTCTCTCTTAACTCCTGATATATATTACATTAAACATAAAACAAATTCATCCTCCAGCATAAGATTGTTTTTCCCAGTGTAATAGAACAACACCGCCTGGAAATCAAATCAAATCCAAATCAAACAAACACAAAAATGGTGGAGACGGGCGGAGGGACGTTGAAAGACAAGCCATCGAACAAATTTCCATGCTCCGCTGTGAAATTCCACGATGGAATGGAACGACAACAACGACAACATTGACGACTCGAAGAAGTTTCCCTGCCAGCCTGGTTTTTCTTTACTTTTCTTATTTATTTTTTTCTACCTCTTTTAGCCTCTTCGATGGGCGAGCGCAATTATCCGTCGCGTGGTGCGTACAGTGAACTCTCGTTATATAACCAAGGAAACTGAATATCAAATAGATAAACTGCTCTTTTCTGCTACATAGGAATGCCCGATTACATAACTATTTTTAAAATATAATGATTTATGTCTTTACTACTAATCTATCAATATGGTTTATAAAATACCTGCAAAAACAATTTTATTATTTTTTCAATATATTTTAATGTAATATTCATACACCCGTTACACTTTCATAACTTACAGAAACTAAATTAACATTAACTTTCAGTTTTTTATGATCTTAGAGAAATTTTCTTTAAATAATAAATGATAAATAATTTAGCTGAATGTGAGTTTTATTACATTTTTAAACCAGAAAATGTATATTTTAATTATTTATTGATTTTTTACCTACATACATAATACAACATAATATTCTTAAAAAATGCT